ACACACACACACTGTAGGCCCACACACACACACACTGTAGGCCCTCACACACACACACTGTAGGCCCTCACACACACACACAGACACACACACACACTGTTGGCCCTCACACACACACACTGTAGGCCCTCACACACACACACTGTAGGCCCTCACACACACACACACTGTAGGCCCTCACACACACACACTGTAGGCCCACACACACACACACTGTAGGCCCTCACACACACACACTGTAGGCCCACACACACACTGTAGGCCCTCACACACACACACTGTAGGCCCTCACACACACTGTAGGCCCTCACACACACACTGTAGGCCCTCACACACACACACACACACACTGTAGGCCCTCACACACACACACACACTGTAGGCCCTCACACACTCACACTGTAGGCCCTCACACACACACACACTGTAGGCCCTCACACACACACACACTGTATGCCCTCACACACACACACACTGTATGCCCTCACACACACACAATGTAAGCCCTTACACACACATACACACACACAGACACACACAGACACACACAGACACACACACATAAACCCCCACACACACAATGGAAACAGACACATATACATACACGAGAACACACACACACACGGTTACACACACAAACAAACACACGGAAGCACTCACAGATACACACACAGACGCACACACACACAAACACACACACGCACACATCTTCCTCAGCACTCCACCTGACCCAGAGACCCCAAACATTTTTATTCTATGATGTCATCCGGGGATTAAAGAAATCGATTTAGATCTTTTTCCTGAACATTATGCTTCTAGTTTTTTTAAATTATTAGGCTGATTTCTTTCTTCTTGACTAACATCCTGATGTATGACATCATTCACGCGAGCATCAATACCGTCACTACACGTGTTTTATGTGTGTCACTGGTGTTCTGATCTACAGGGATGTTGTGAGAGGTGTGTGTGTGTGTTATGAGAGGTGTATGTGTGGGTGTGTGTGTTGTAAAAGAGCATTTCAAATGGCGCACATTAAAAAAAACCACATTCAACATATCCTCACATACACTCATACACACATCAACAAACCCCACACACCAACATATGCACATCTTTAGATGTTGTTGTCGTGTGTGTGTCTGTGTGTATGGATGTGTGCGTATGTATGTTTGTGGGGGGTGAAGGGGGTGTCATCATGAATGTATGTGAAAGTCCGGGGGCGAGTACAGCCCAACTTTCGACTGACGCCAGACGCCATTGATCATGAGATCCCCTGCCCTGCTGTCTGTCACGGCCAATCCTTTAAGTCACGTGGCCAGCCCAGAGCGCGTGCAGGGGCCGGGCTACGTCAGGTGACTGGCAGTCACGTGATCGAGTTCTAGTCAGATGATGGCGAGTTTGGTCCAGTCATGGCGAGTTTGGTCGAGTCATGGCGAGTTTGGTCCAGTCATGGCGAGTTTGGTCCAGTCATGGCGAGTTTGGTCGAGTCATGGCGAGTTTGGTCCAGTCATGGCGAGTTTGGTCCAGTCATGGCGAGTTTGGTCCAGTCATGGCGAGTTTGGTCCAGTCATGGCGAGTTTGGTCCAGTCATGGCGAGTTGGGTCCAGTCATGGCGAGTTTGGTCCAGTCATGGCGAGTTTGGTCCAGTCATGGCGAGTTTGGTCCAGTCATGGCGAGTTTGGTCCAGTCATGGCGAGTTTGGTCCAGTCATGGCGAGTTTGGTCCAGTCATGGCGAGTTTGGTTCAGTCATGGCGAGTTTGGTCCAGTCATGGCGAGTTTGGTCCAGTCATGGCGAGTTGGGTCCAGTCATGGCGAGTTTGGTCCAGTCATGGCGAGTTTGGTCCAGTCATGGCGAGTTTGGTCCAGTCATGGCGAGTTTGGTCCAGTCATGGCGAGTTTGGTCCAGTCATGGCGAGTTTGGTCCAGTCATGGCGAGTTTGGTCCAGTCATGGCGAGTTTGATCCAGTCATGGCGAGTTTGGTCCAGTCATGGCGAGTTTGGTCCAGTCATGGCGAGTTTGGTTCAGTCATGGCGAGTTTGGTCCAGTCATGGCGAGTTTGGTTCAGTCATGGCGAGTTTGGTCCAGTCATGGCGAGTTTGGTCCAGTCATGGCGAGTTGGGTCCAGTCATGGCGAGTTTGGTCCAGTCATGGCGAGTTTGGTCCAGTCATGGCGAGTTTGGTCCAGTCATGGCGAGTTTGGTCCAGTCATGGCGAGTTTGGTCCAGTCATGGCGAGTTTGGTCCAGTCATGGCGAGTTTGATCCAGTCATGGCGAGTTTGGTCCAGTCATGGCGAGTTTGATCCAGTCATGGCGAGTTTGGTCCAGTCATGGCGAGTTTGGTCCAGCCAGATCATCGCCTCCAATAGCTCGGTAGTTTGTGATCATTACTAACATCTCTACCCCCCCCCCCCCACTGTCACACACACAACACGTTTACCCCTACCACAAAACAAGTGTTCTAATTATATTTATTTATTCGAGTGCTTGTGGAGACATCGGATTTTTTTTTCCCATCTGGTACCCGAATAAATCAGAGGTTTTCCAACACACGAGCTGGCCCATTCAGTTACCCAAGTGAGAAGCACACACTCTCCTAATGTAGTCCAACACACCAAACTGACGCATGTATATGACGTGTCCACCAACACAGTACCAACCGTGTAGTTTTAGACCTGTGACCTGTGTTGTTCACATTTAAACATTGCTGCTGATATATATTTCTTGGATCTTTGGGGGCATCCATTTATGACGTCCACACGGGGGGGGGGGGGGGTGGGGGGTCTGAAAAAAAATCGACCTTTGTGGACGCGTGTGGACTGGAGGGTGGGGGGGGGGTAGTTCGGTTCAGTGCGGACGTCCACATGCGGAATTAAACCACAAAATACAATTGATAATTAAAAAATTAATTTAATTTTTAAAAATGCATATAAAATGTTTAGTAATGTAGCTGTTTACCAACCGCCTATAAAAAAAAGCGACTTTTTTTTTACATGCGGGAGGGGATGGGACAGTTGAAAACATGCAGCGTAAAGTTGAGTAAGAGTAATATAATGACATCACAAATAGACAAACGCAAATGACAGTAAAAAGTTCGGTCTACAGCATCGTCAATTTAAAAAAAAAATTATGACTGCCTGCAATCTCTGACTCTTTATAAAAAATAGTGGGTAAAAAAAGCCTTTAAAATCGCTAGGCAGGGTAAACTGCGTTCATGGCTATCACTCTTTCAACAAAGAACAATTTTAGATAGTCTTAGCACATTCACACGGTAAGTTTACATGCCGTAGACTTCGGGACATCTTGGAAAAGTTTGAACTCCCAATTATTATTTAGGCCTAATAATAGATGTTACCTAAAATATCAAATCCCTATATTAAATTATTAGCTAATGTACACATTTCATGTAAATGAATTGGTAATTTTGCAACTTGTGTACTAAATTATTGTGGACGGCCAAATGGGGGGGGGGGGTGTGTGCTCCGGATGACAGTGCCGCCGATAGAATCATGTTGTCACCCTATTCCCCTGGCTTAACAAAAAGCCAGACCCTCACCCCTAAATGACGTCATTTATTTATCGCAATTGACTATAAACATTACTAAATAATGTTCAGTTAATTTATTTACTAATGAGGAATTAGCTATTTTTAATAACATAAAAATGATCTTACCTTCTTTATCTTGTGAATTAGATGCACCAAACACTATGTGGGTTCTCAGATATCTGCTGACTAGTGCTGTCTAGTGTCTGATAAAATGTGCTCAGTCAAGTGGTGATTGTACGGTTAGGAAGATCACAACGATACATTTATCCATTCGATACTTGCGAAGTAGGGGGGGGGGGGGGGCGGGGGCTCAGATCGAAAAGAAGATTGAAAGGGACAACAAAGTGTCGATGTACGTCAGCATCATTTAGATAGTGACACTAAAGTAAACTTTAGTAAAATAACGATCATTGTAACATTGCTGGATGGTTGGTACCGATGCTGAATGGTTGGTAGCAATGTTGGATGGTTGGTAACAGTTTTTGATGGTTCGTGTTATAAACTTGACAGTAACACTTCCTTGTTGCACTTTGTAACTTTATTACAAATATGTACGCCTTGGAGTAGAGACAGTGAATAATATATCCATAGTTGGAATAATACAAGAACAATCCACAAACAAACTGACGTAGTGACGGCTTACGTTCTTCTATACAGACACAGTTATCCACCTTACACCCTCCCCTCCCCCCCCCCCTTTTCTACCACCCATTCTCTCCCCCATCGCCAGTGAGAGATCAACAAAAAGCATTGAAAAACGTGATTAATCGCTCACATTGTCCTTCCCTTGGCCAGATGTAATGTACATTCTGTAATAATAATAGAACCGCAGTTGAAGTCATTTTTTGTTGTTGTGCAAACAAAACTTCGAGGCAGTAATAATAATGGATGAAATTAAGTTTTAAAATTTTTAAAATAGTACTTCTGGTTTGTTGTGTGCCCCATAGATGGTCTGCCCCCCCACCTCCTCCCCACCGTTATGGTAGTTCCGCCCCTGCCCTAACACGATATTTTTTTTTTACAGAACTCGATTCGACAGACACAGGATTACACGGCTAAATTCTACTGATGTAATTGTAAGCTGAAAACGAGGATCTTTGGATTACTTTAGCAGTTGTGTTTTTGGCTATTTCAAACTGGTGAAGACAGCGTGACAACCCCCCCCCCCCCCCCCTAGCCACGTGATCACCAGAGCGTGACCCTCTAGCCACGTGATCACCAGAGCGTGACCCCCCCCCCCCGCCACGTGATCAACAGAGCGTGACAACCCCCCAGCCACGTGATCACCAGAGCGTGACCCCCCAGCCACGTGATCACCAGAGCGTGACAACCCCCCAGCCACGTGATCACCAGAGCGTGACCCCCCCCCCCCGCCACGTGATCACCAGAGCGTGACAACCCCCCAGATACGTGATCACCAGAGCGTGACCCCCCCCCCCCAGCCACGTGATCACCAGAGCGTGACCCCATGCCCCCCTGTGAGTGCTGAGGTCGTATGGCGAGACGGCTGCATCACCTGGTCTTGTTGTACTCACCCCTAGTGACCGTCATGCACACCGGACTCCTCCAGCTCATCCTGGTGGTCACAGCACTGGCAGAGAGATGTACACGTGCCGTGCCGTGAGTACTCACACTAGCACATACATACAGCACACTCTAGCACATACATATAGCACACTCTAGCACATACATACAGCACACTCTAGCACACACACACACTCTAGCACACACACACACACTTTAGCAAATACATATAGAAAACACACACACTCCAGCACACACACACTCTAGCACACAGCGACACACACACTATCACACACACACACTCTAGCACACACACAGACACACTAGCACATACACACACTAGCACACACACTCCAGCACACACACACACTAGCACACACACACACTAGCACACATCGACACACGCACTCACAGACATACATACATTGGTCACACACACACATGCACAGACACAAACAGACGCCAGAAGAAACATACTCAACTACAAACATGCACATTAAGACACACACACACACATACAGGCAACACAGTTCTCTTCACATTTTATCCACTATCTCGCCACATTTCTATTCAAATTTTAACTTATTTCCAAATCACATTCCAATTGAGATTCCCATTCCCTTTCCTATTGTCGTCTGCCTGTCGTCTGCAGGGTACAGAGTGTTCCCGCCAAAAAGATGCACGTGTTACGGCGAGTTCCCGCCTCCTGCTCCAACTGGGACAAAGCGTGGGCGTGGCTGACCAAGGTGGACTGTGGCACCAAGTACAGGTAGGGTCAAGTGATGTCAGGTGCCGTGTCACGTGAGTCACGTGGATGTCACGTGGATGTCACGTGGGTGTCACGTGGGTGTCACGTGGGTGTCACGTATCACGCGACATTTCTCATGTGATGTCATGTACTCACATACGTCTCCTGATATATCATACTTATCCCAGGATAATATCATACTTATCCCAGGATAATATCATACTTATCCCAGGCTAGTATCATACTTATCCCAGGCTAGTATCATACTAATCCCAGGCTAGTATCATACGTATACCAGGCTAGTATCATACTTATCCCAGGCTAGTATCATACTTATCCCAGGCTAGTATCATACATCCCAGGCTAGTATCATACATCCCAGGCTTGTATCATACTTATCCCAGGCTAGTGTCATACTTATCCCAGGCTAGTATCATACATCGCGCAGGCTAGTATCATACTTATCCCAGGCTAGTATCATACATCCCAGGCTAGTATCATACATCCCAGGCTTGTATCATACTTATCCCAGGCTAGTGTCATACTTATCCCAGACTAGTATCATACATCGCAGGCTAGTATCATACTTATCCCAGGCTAGTATCATAATTATCCCACAAAGTGTGTTTGTGTCGTTGTGTGCGTGGTTGCAGAGCTTTTATGTGTGTAGTTGTATGGCTTGTGTTTGTGTTTATATGCATGTGTATGTGTGTGTGTGCATGTGTGTGTGTGTGTGCCTGCTTGAAAGAGAGAAATGGGTGACATTTAAATCGATTCCTTAAGAAGGGGGATAACTCGAATTAGGAAGGTAAAACAAGATCGATGGATGGATTGATGGTGGGGTTGATGGTGGGAAGGATGGTGGGATGGATGGTGGGATGGATGGTGGGATGGATGGTGGGGTGGATGGTGGGATGGATGGTGGGGTGGATGGTAAGGTGGATGGTAAGGTGGATGGTGGGGTGGATGGTGGGGTTGATGGTGGTTTGGATGGTGGGATGGATGGTGGGGTGGATGGTGGGATGGATGGTGGGGTGGATGGTGGGGTGGATGGTGGGGTGGATGGTAAGGTGGATGGAAAGGTGGATGGTGGGGTGGATGGTGGGGTGGATGGTGGGGTGGATGGTGGAATTGATGGTGGGGTGGATGGTCGGTTGGATGGTGGGGTGGATGGTCGGTTGGATGGTGGGGTTGATGGTGGGATGGATGGTGGGATGGATGGTCGGTTGGATGGTGGGGTGGATGGTGGGATGGATGGTGGGGTGGATGGTGGGGTGGATGGTGGGGTGGATGGTCGGTTGGATGGTGGGGTGGATGGTCGGTTGGATGGCGGGGTGGATGGTGGGGTGGATTCAAACGTGAATTGTAAGAGCATGCAATGTGAGGTCACGTGTTAGCCCATAAGCTCGTGTTGCTCTGATATGTTATGGTCTGACGTCGTTGATTGGCTGGTTCATTCCTACGTCACACACACGGTCTAACAAAGCGCTCTGCCGTATGGTCTAACAAAGCGCTCTGCCGTACGTCTAACAAAGCACTCTGCCGTATGGTCTAACAAAGCGCTCTGCCGTATGGTCTAATATAGCGTTCTGCCGTACGTCTAACAAAGCGCTCTGCCGTAGGTCTAACAAAGCGTTCTGCCGTACGTCTAACAAAGCGCTCTGCCGTATGGTCTAACAAAGCGCTCTGCCGTATGGTCTAATATAGCGGTCACCCAACGAAATAAAACGAAAAAATCAACTCGGAGTTAAATTGACCGAAGGAAAAAAAAATCTAATTAGTGTTTATTTTGGTCCCAGTCGCTTTTGGAAGCTGGTATTTCAGCCGGCAGTTTAGCCGGTAGTTTAGCCGGTAGTTTAGCCGGTAGTTTAGCCGGAAGTTGAACGTATCGTTTGTCCAGCAGAGTCTACAAACGGCACGCGGCGAGTGATGTAATTAGCCAATCAAATCAGTGAATACAGGACCAAGTCGCATTGATTGGTGGAGACAGATGGTCCGTCTCTCGGTCACGTGATCATTCTTGAACTGTGTCCTGTCAAGTCTTCGATCTGTGCATGGTGCTAGGTGTCATATGTCATAATCTCATGTCATGTGTGATATATTGTGATGACATAAGTGACAGACAGGTGTCATATGCCATAGGTATGACAGGTGGAATAAGTAAATAGATGACAGATGTCATGTCCCCGGTGACAGCTAGCTAATTAGTGACAGTTCTAGCTATTTAGTGGTGACAGTCTTAAGACAGACTAAATACAGACATACAGACAGACCTACAAGTCAACGACGTGAGGTCAATATATGTGTATGCTGTAATTAACATGTGTGTATTGATTTTGGTTCGACCCAATTATTGTATTACACACCCCAGCCTGAGAATTATAGAGTTGTGATCTACACGATCATACACAAAACTATATCGTGGGGTTGAGGGGATACATGGGCAGGTGGGGGGGGGGGGGGGTAGATCATGTGTTATGATCGTGGGGTGGGGGCGCCTACAAATGCTGAAGTAATAAACAGAACGGCGCCTCACTGGCAGCAAGTCGGCAGGTACCCTCAGGGGGAATAACCCAGTCATAAGAGGGGGAGATAAAGGGAAAGAACTTCGGGAAGACAAAGGCTATATAAACAAGCCGGCTTCCACTGGGAGCCGGATCAATAGCCGGCTAAACCGGTCAGATTCCTTATGATAAGAAGATGCCGTGCAAACCAATTCGGATTTCTTGCTTGTCTTTCTTGACTAGACCACGGGTCAGTTTGTGACTCGCGTCAGGTTAGTGTGTGACTCGGCGTCAGGCTAGTGTGTGACTCGGCGTCAGGTTAGTGTGTGACTCGGCATTAGGTTAGTGTGTGACTCGGCGTCAGGTTAGTGTGAGCCCAGTAGCCCCAACACCACTTCCCTCATGTCTGAATGCTTGGCTCAGTTCTACCTCAACTGACACACCCTCCCTCCCTTCCATCCTCCCATCCTCCCTCCCTCCCTGGTGCCCCCTCTTGACCCTAACGAATCCATATCGCAGGCCGGCGGGGGAGCGAGGGTGAAATGCAATCCCTCCAAGTCACAGCTTGTTACTGCCCCTGTCCACCTTTACGGCCCTCAGAGGGCGCCACAACAGATTAGAAACGAGATCTCGCGAGGGGGATAATCCCTGGAGACAAAAGATGGCGGGAATTGCTTGCGGGCGGCCATAATTGTTTTCGTCGCCCTAACTGCCCTCGCCCCCCCCCCCCCCCGCCCTAGTGAGACATCCATCGATTCTCTGGGACGGGACGACAGCAGCCTGCACGAGCTCCATCCTAATTCTCTAACGACCCCCCCCCCCGAGCAAACGGTCCATGTGTGACGGAGGGGGGGGGGGTGTCCCCAGCAGCACGAGCGAGCTTTACGTCACGTGAGCCATGCACGAGCGGCTGATCCCCACTAAGACACGCCCTTCAGCTTGTTCACACACGGATTTAAACCTAATCCTAATCTTCCACAAAACTCGATTCCAATCTTCTCTCGATACCCGCTGGAACTCGATACCAGTCTTCCATTTGCCCAACCAAGTCGCCCCCTCTGTTCCCAACCAAGTCGCCCCCTCTGTTCGAAACCAAGTCGCCCCCTCTGTTCCCAACCAAGTCGCCCCCTCTGTTCCCAACCAAGTCGCCCCCTCTGTTCCCAACCAAGTCGCCCCCTCTGTTCCCAACCAAGTCGCCCCCTCTGTTCCCAACTGGAGACGTTCTCACAATATTACTAACTATACTACTAACCCTGATCCTAACCTCAACTCTAACCCCAACCTTATTTCTAAACCATTATCTAAATCTAAACATAATGTCTATAAACAAAATAAATGTGGAATTTAATTAAGCTAAGGTCATTGACCGTTGGAGTCGGGGCGGCTGGTGGTGCTATTGGAGGTTCTAGAGTTTACACGTGTGTACCTTTGCGTGTGTTTGTTTGTTTTTGTGATTGTGCGTGTTTGTTTTTGTGATTGTGCGTGTATTTGTTTTTGTGATTGTGCGTGTGTTTGTTTGTTTTTGTGATTGTGCGTGTTTGTTTTTGTGATTGTGCGTGTATTTGTTCTTGTGATTGTGCGTGTTTTTGTTTTTGTGATTGTGCGTGTGTTTGTGATTGTGATTGTGCGTGTTTGTGTACGTGTGGCTGTAAGGATTGACTTTTAGCTTCCGTATTTTTTAAAGTGGAATGTTCTAGAGATGGCTGCTCCATTTGGATTCATTAAAACCTAATGAGATTACAACTTTGTTTTGTTATCCTCTAAATTTAGCAAGCCTGTGAAATCTGCTCACCTTAACTACCAAACCAGCCCCCACCCCATCTTCCCCCCCCCCCCCCCCCCCATCTCCCCACCCCTCTCTGTTTACTTTAGCCAGGCCCCACGTTTTGCTAGAGCTATTTATAGCCGATGTGAGGGAGGACGAAGTTTAATGGATGCTTTTATTGCCATAGATTCTCCGCCATATTTAATGGATGGGGGGGGGGGGGGGGAGGGGGAAGGTTTCAATGGGGCATTTGTGACCTGCTCTATATTTAGTATCTCTAGGGGAAGTGACGTAGTTACAAAAAACTGCAGTGCGACTTTGGTCAAGTGCCGCTTCCAGTTGTAAAAAAAAATATGATTGGTTCTTTCAAGGAGACGTTTGGGTCATTAATTATTCAATGAGTTTTTAAATTCCGTTTTAAAATATTTTTTTTAATTATCCTCGACATTATTAAGTAGGTCAGTGTGAGGATTGTGTCTAAAACAGTTTGACGACAAGTATGACGTCAGGACGAGAAATGTTGACGTCAGAACAACACTTTGCTGACATCAGCAAAAAATAGATTTTTATCAAAATATCAGAAAAACGACAAATCTAATCTACACACTTAGGCATAACTTAAAGGCTTACATTTCACTGATTTCTTCTCCAAAGTTGATGTCGTCGTATACGTCGATCTTGTTGGACATCTTAGCGCTGATGTCAGTTGAATCTTTGTGTTGGTCAGGGTATGACAACATACGCCTGTCAGT